GTACGAACCCTTTGTACGAACAAAAGGAAGAGAAATTTAGGATAAGAATACGAACATGTTCTTGCATGAAGCCCATTATTTAATTTTTTGTAAGTTTTAGATAATTTTTATATTTAATTTTAAACTACTAAATCACAAACTGCTCCATGAGCCATGCTGCTCAGGTGTACTTTCTGTATCCCTTTTTTTTGTTAGCCTGCTCTGTCAGCTAAGGTCACATTGGATTATGGTCTTGCACAACTTCTGAGCACTACTTAGAGTAAACCATGTACCCAGTTTCTAGGACACTTTATAGGAGAAGAATAAAATGCAATACACATTTCAAACACCACTAAAAATGGCTTGGATAATGGATAATCTGAACATGTCTCATAATGTTGTGTCTGAGCTGAGATGATTAAATTGGATGTCCTGCTCTCTTTTTCTTTTCTTTTTTCATGCAGCTCAGACAGCTTTCCCGTGTAAACCATCCAAACATTGTGAAGTTGTATGGTTCGTGTAAAAGTCCGGTAAGTTAGGACGCTTATGCAACAGCTACAATTTCACTCCATGTTTTGTAAAGATTATTTTATGGCCATGTTTGTCCTTCAGGTCTGCCTTGTGATGGAATATGCAGAAGGTGGATCACTGTACAATGGTGAGTCCAGATGTTTTCCTAGATTATCATTGATTTTATATTGCAGGTGTTGGCCTGTCTTCCAGTTTGCTTTTGTTGAAACAGCTATGCACACATGCAGTAATTGCAATAATAACACAGAGATGTTAGCATGACAAAGGCATTCTCAGTAGGTTTTATTCTTTCCAGCAAAGAGTAATTCAAAGCAATTTTGTATTTTTTGTCTGGATTAAAGACGAGATCTCCTTTGAGTCAAAATTTATTGGCTACTGTGATTTCTAGTAGATATCTTTTTATATTCCAAAGTTAAAACACTGTAAAAATAACAAAAGTAACACATCAGTACTGTAAAACTAACAGTACTATTAGTACCATGACAGCTTAAACAGTATTGTTG